TTCGAGGTCACGTGTTTTTATACTAATATAAGATTCAGTTTGGTTTATAGCAGACTCCGTTCTTGTTACGTAAACATTTCAAGGGGTTATCAAAATGCTAAGTAGAGTTTTCATTTACCGTGCCACGAAATGAATTTTTGAACGTAATATCAACTTGGCAGGGATCCAATTTGGGAAAAATAAGGTGGAAATGTTTGTCTTAAAATTAAACCAAAAACAGTAATAAAATTAAATCGAAATTGTATTAGTTCCATATCGGATTTTAATCTTCTATTGTCCCGAAGAAAGAAAAGCTGTTAAATGTATGCGTTAAATTGTCGTCGTGTTTTAGCATGGAGATTTATCACGGCGGTGTCACTCAACGAGATAAGAACTCTTTCAAATTTGAATAATATGACAAGAGAGTTAGGAAGTTTTGGAGTTGCACAGATATGACATGTTACGACTTTTCATTACTTAAATGTACGTAATTCAGATTCCAACATTTATGTTATTGCTTTACGCAGTCGTTCAAAATGCATTCATTCGAAGGTAACTGTATCACTTTCGAGCATTGATTATTAAATTAAATAAAATATGTGCAGGTACATATTTTTCTTAGAGGAAATTTATTAGGAACGATTTCCGTTTAAGTGTTTACAAGTCTGCAAGCAGGTTGCTGATATTTGCAGATTATATGTCCGTGTTCACAGACACAGTTTCGATGATGATGAAGATGCTGTTGACAGTTCGATGATTACAATAAAATATAACTTTATTATGTTTTCTTGCGTATTGTTTCGTAGCTGTAGCAAATTAGTTTAACAATTCAAATTAATTAACGTGCAGAAGCTGATATATTCGACAAGCCGCTGCAACGTAACGAATCAACCATTGTTATGAACCTGTTCAATGCAATGAAAGTTGACCTCTGGTATTGTTACAAGCCCTGCGATGTCGGGAATTGGAAAGGCAGAACTCTGAAAATGGATAGGACAATTAGGAAAGTTTATATTTTTAAACTATGGGTATTATGTTGGTAGAGAAGCGACAATGATTGTCCTCCAGGTTTTTACTCTGTGTAGTACCGACCATTTAATAGGGGCTTGCTGCCTTCATAATCTTGGCGATGGGCCCCTGAAATGTCGGTAAACTTCTAAACCAGGCTACACGGCGCAACGATACAGAAGTCAGCCATCTTCACACTCCCCTCTGTGAGAACCTGAAATCTCTGTGTTTAAAGGACAATCCGATTTCCTTATGATGAGATGATAGTTCCGATTGCAAATCTTTCTTGCCTCATTAAGTTACCAACGTGAACTTTTATAAGATTTATATCATTATATTATTTTAAACATGTGCTTGTAATTTCTTTAAATTATTATAAAACAAATTTAGTGGTGGTAGTTAACTTACGCTATGAGGACGTTTTTCCTACTGTTCACGTACGTATCTCGTTCTTGGAACGATAATCAGTCCGTTAACATATCTTTACACATCCATAAAGGGCGTATATAAATGCATTGTATATATATATATATATATATATATTTATTTATTTTCGTCCTATTGCCCTTGATGATATGTCTCAAGTTCTTTGGCGATTTAATTCACAGATATTAAGTCAATGGCACTAATCTTACAACCTCAAGAAACTCGGCGCTTGTGAGGTCACGAAACTTTCCAGTGCATCCCGATAACACCAGTTGAATGCTGTTTCAGAGCTTAAAATGGATACGGAATGAAGAATGCTTCATATAATCCTTTGAAGCATAACAATTCGGTTCCTACCTCAAAGAAAACAGAGCATCTCCATTAAAAATGCCAGTTGGTTAATGCTGAAACATATTCTTTGTAAAAATATAGACCTAATTTCTATATCACAATTCAGCGCAACCAGTTCAAATTATCTAATTAACTGAATGATAATTATATCATTCAGCGGAACTGTAGCAATTGTGATTTTTTTTCGAAATTATACAATGTATATGTTTTAGAACTTAAATTTTTAAAAATCACGACGTTTCATAAACTGCTTTTCATGAATATCTTTAACTTCGAACGTCTCGGTAGAATGGTTTATCTCCTTTTTCATATTCGGGAGGTCCCAGGTACCCAATCTGGAAATCAGTCATTCCGAGGGATGCTTCTGTGGTTTTACTCAGTCTCTTCAGATAGATTCCAGAAAAACGTCTTAAATTATAGTCACGACCGCTTCTTTCCACAGCCTTTCTAATTATTTATCGTTGGACTATTAGACGCCAGGATATAGTCTTAGTTACTTACAGCATCTTTGTGTAAACTGTAAATAAAACGAATGATGTTTATGCAAGGGGCCTTACAGAGCAAATATATCCTTCCTCTCTTGTATGTTTCGCCTAAAGACGAGGACTCAAATTTTATATTTTAAAAAAATATGCACAAGATATGATGTCCAACCAATCTGCGCTGCTTGGCAACAGACTTCACAGAATCAGATCACAGTCACGCCTAGAATGTGAACTAAACAGTAAACCAACGATTGTAATGCGTGGTCTGTCTTTCGTAAATCAGTGAAAACAGGACACGAACTGAGGGACTCTCTAATCGAAATTACGGTCAACATTATCTCAGCAAAATGACGTTAAAAAGTGGAGAAGGGGTCCTATGAAAGAATGCAATTCTTTTTCATCAGCAATCACATAACGAAAGGTGCACTGAGTTCATTCACATCCAAACCCCAAGTAAACTACCTGTGTTCTCCACCTAGCAACAGGCAGCATCCCTCAAACAAAGTATTGATAACGGCTTTGGCATAAATTCTAAAGACAATAATGGAGAAAACGGGCCTTTTTTTGGCTTGTTTAAAAGTTGATTTACTGCAGTTTACTTGCTTATCTCTAAGTGGGCATATAAGCCATTTTTACTTCAATTTTCCGAACACACAACGCCACTTTAAAGAACGAGAAACTGGAAGTAGTCAGTTGCTGTATATGGCGACAAGCTGCTAAACTCAACTCGTCTCATCCGATGGAGGTGGTCGTATGTTTCAAACCGTGGAAGTAAGACCTGCCATAATGGATTTTGAGTTCTTGCAGAAATTTAAGATATAAAATTCCGTGAAATTGGTTGATATAAATATATAGAATTGTCTCCAAGCCCGATGCAGTTTTTGGGAATGGATTATTAATTATAAATTAATGATGATTTTTTGATAAAAAGTTATATATTATTTTTATACTAATGATGTGAATGAATCGGTAGCTGGATCAAACTGTGAATTTGTTGCAGATAGAATAAAAATCATTTAATCTTTCACAACATGCCTTCCCTAGTCGATTTATTAGAGAAGATGTCCAGCCAGACTTTACTAACATTGAACGGTTTGGCAAAAATTTTCAGTGTGTGTCGTACGAAATTCGCGAAGCTGTACTTCCAGTTTTAGGTAGCCATGGCGAGGGTAGGCGGGAGGGGTGAGGGTATTATATGCTGGTTAAGGTTCCTCTGAATTTGCGACACTCAATAAAAAGTTGTTCCACGAGTTTGAAACTGATTCAACTCTCCAGAGTTGGAACAAAAGAGCAACTGCTTAAAACTATCAAATGAAAACAGATATTTTTGTTAGTAGCTTCTGAGACATGGTTTACTTGCTTTCGTAACCACAATTTTAAAGGAAGTGTGTGTTCCTGTGATTGAGCTGGTGCTCGCAAGATCAGTGTTTTACTCTTTTTCTATTCATTTTGATTGTATTTCTAAACTCCGTCACACGGAAGGTAACTTAGTTTAAATTACAACTTATTCGTGAAAATAATTAATCCTCCTGTTTAAAAAAATATAAACTCTAACGCGAGTGTCGATTGTTGCATTTTGAATCATTTCGGCTATAACATCTGTGTACCTATCACAACAGTCAGATATTTTGTTTCCAATTTCACGGAGCTTTAGGTATGTGTGCGTGACGTACTAATTTCAAAGTGTAAGACGTGATTTTCTAATGATAAAAATAAGTGGTTAGACGTTCCTGAAATCATTACGGAAAAGCTATATACTAAAGAAAAAGGAAGGGTAACTCGTATCATTGACTATATGTATGATTTGCAGTTTGCATAGGTATTCCGTTGATTGGCTGCGTTTGATGTTTCTCAAGAATTGCATGTCGCTGAAAGCAGTGGTTTTATTATGCTATTGATTATTCAGTCGATACAGGACAATGGAGGAAAAATAGTTGATTTACACAAGTGTATTTCTTCTACTGTGTGAAACGAATTAACTTTGTTCATGCGCAGTTTGCTAACCGCGGATGAACGTAATGATTTTTTGGGGATGGATTAAACAGGGGTGGGGGTGCATAGCTCATTAGCGCATGAATATACAATTTTTCTTATTATTGTATTTTCATTTCGATTATATTTTCCCATGATATTCAGTCTGTTCATACTTTCACATTTGGCGACTAGGAACGTAAGTAAAATGTCATCCGAGGCTGTTCATTAAATTATAATATTTTTTTATAATTTGAATGTATTTTTTATTGGAACTCAATTGTTTCGTTTTTGTATCCTTCCGCATTTTCATTACACGTCTTGCAGCGTACGCGCTATTTTTAGTGCAGAGTTATTACGACAGATGTCTCACGTACCGATAAAGAATTATCTGATGTGCGAGTTTTTTTGCGGCATGTTTTTTGTGAATGCTTTGTAATGAAACAGGCTTTTATTAGAAGTTTTGATTTAAACGAAAGAACAGGTAACAATAATCGAACACTCGCACGTCTTATATACGAAATAAATTTGCCGGTAGTTAAAATTATTTGTATTTCGCGGCTATCGCAGAACCGCCCGTGATCCCAATTTTTGGGACGCGGTTGTGTAGTGTACGCGTTTACGCTTGGCCGATGAGGCCGGTGGAAAAAAGAATGTAATAACATATTTTTATATAATAATTTGTAACAGTAACGGTTGTCGTCTCTAAAGGTGAATTTGTTTATATCGTTGTTTGGTTTTCATTTTGTATCTACCAGTGAATCTGATGTCATTTTTTGTAGCAGTGTTTGTATGACATTAGACAATGTCAATGTCAATTACTAGAAAAATAGGCAAAAATAGTAATGACAATTATCACTTATTTTGCTTCGGATGACAGTGCTATTGATTTGTAATTGGCTTGTGTGAATAGTTATTATGTTTAGCTCGAGGTGATGTGCTATATATCAAGTAATCTTATGAAATTGTGAACGACTATAAGCTGATGTATCCATTGCTCTATTTTTTAAGGACGCCATTTTCCACCATTTTTGTTTTACTCGTTCAAGGCCAAAAAATGTAGCTAAACCCTAAGGCCAATTTACAAGTTAACAGTATTATGTGAAGATTTATTATAGTGATGGAATGTACGTTTTGTTCTATTTCCTATGCATATTAATTATGTTATTTTGAAATATATCAGTTCGCAACATGTCTGATATTTCTGATAGTATAACATTATTGCATTTTGTTTTATAAGATGACATATGAATGCAATCTTTGAAAGTTTTGTTATGAGAAGTGCCATTTTAACCTCACTTTTTTGGTTTCAGGTAGAGTAAAATGAGTATGGCAGACACTCAGCACTTTTGCCTTCGTTGGAACAATTATCAAAGTAGTATCACCTCTGCATTCGAGAATTTACGTGATGATGAAGATTTTGTTGATGTAACGTTGGCTTGTGATGGCAAAAGCCTCAAAGCTCATCGTGTGGTACTCTCAGCATGCAGTCCTTACTTTCGAGAACTTCTTAAGGTGAATGAACTGTAATGTTGTTTATGTGCATTATCACATGAAAATCACATAGTTAACTCTGATGTTTATGAAATTGTAAGCAGTATTTCTAACAAATTCGTTTTTATGACAGAGTACACCATGCAAGCACCCGGTGATTGTGCTGCAAGATGTGGCTTTTGCTGACCTGCATGCATTAGTCGAGTTCATATATCATGGTGAAGTGAATGTACATCAGCGGAACCTTACCTCATTCTTGAAGACTGCAGAAGTATTGAGGGTGAGCGGGTTAACACAACAAGCAGAAGACAGAGATGAGGTAAGAAACCTATGGAGAATATATAGAACATGTTTTAAAATGAAACAGTTTGTGCTTATTGTGATTCTGTATTTTAGCTGAATGAATTTGTTGCTGGTATATTTTGCAGCCTTTTTTATAGTTGTCACTGCTGAGGCACAAGTACTGTAGTTAAATGATTAAGCCTGAAGTCTGCATGCCATTAATTTTGGAAATAAAATCACTAGCATTGCTTATTTAACAGTCATTCAGACATTAAGAAGTAATTTTTTGTTGTTTCATTTCATTATAAATAAACTACAAGGATTATACCTTTGACTGTTTTAGTTTTCTGCACAACTGCCAAGCTCTCGTGGGCACCAACACAGTTTTTCTGAAAAACTGGTTGAAGATGCTTTGTTCACGTCACCTCCATCACCACTTCCATCTTCCCAACACTCAAATGCTACCTCAGGTGGAGCAACAGTGAACCAGCTATTGCGACGTGCAGCAGCAGCGGCAGCCATAGCTTCATCTTCAAGTCGACGGGAACGACATAACTCTGCCGAGCAGCAGTCAGATTCATCAGAACAGTCGCAACATTCATCCCCAAGCAAAAGGGCAAGAACATCTGTTAATGTTGAGAATAACAACCATAACAATGGTGAAACTACCTCAGCTTCAACCAATCAGGTGACAGCTACCGATTTTTCTTCTTCACCCTTCTCTTCCAAACAAACTCAAGGCTCCACAACAGCAAGTAACAATAGGAAGACAGAATCAGATGGCAATGTAGCTTCAGGTGATGGCGATTCTACACCTTCTCCTACCTCTGGAATGTTAGATGGCGTGAAATCAGAACCTCTAGAACTGATGTGTGGAGCAGCAGACATGGATAACAGCAATGACTCTGTAGAGGCTGCTGGTGGTGATGTCCCAGCAGGAAGTCATCAGCAGTCATCACTTTCAGCTGGTGATCATGATGATCATGACAGTATTCAGGGACACCCAGGTTCTGTTTACCTCTCTACACCAGAGAGTAAACTATTTACTTCTGCTACCTCGACAGGATCATTCAACTTCAGCATGGCGGGATTATCAGGTATGTTGGCTGGATAACTACGATGCAATATAATTTTTAATTGTTTTTGAAACATTGTAATAAATGTTTATAGGT